GCACTTCTCCCAGACCACGTTGATCAGATTATATTCCTGAACAAAAATCTGAAGAGAATGTAGATGCAGTTATGTAGAGAGGAGCCTTTCTGTTTAGTGTTTTTGGCTTAAATGTTACTCCTTTGGACTTGAATTATTGGCAGGTACATTTTACATTAAATGTTGTTCTTAGTGACTTGAATTATTGGCTACCTCATATTCTGTGTTAAGCTAAAAATGATGTAAAAGAATCTGTTCAGAACAGGCCACCTGCTGCACCTTTTAATTCTCCATTGTCCATTGTGATACTGCACTTTATGTACTTATGTGTCAAAGGCTTGTAAGCTACAGTTTGCACTGTTTCAATAAATGAAACTAATTTTCTCACCAAATCTTTTGATTCATTTTGTCCAGCATTTGCAAGCTGTAGACTCTCTGTCAGAGCCATATATTGTATAATTGATGCTTTCAGTTTTCAGTTGAATTAATTCAATCCAAGTCAATGGAACACTCACAAGATGTCACCAAAATCACACTGTCCCTTTAAAATCTTTCAGAAAATGATATAAGTGTATAGAATTATATCGAATCGTATCGCTGGCTGAATATCGTGATATATATCGTATTGTGAGCTGAATATCGTGTATCGTATCGTATCGTGAGATTAGTGTATCGCTACAGCCCTACTGTCGGGGAGGGCGTCAAGCAGACGCGTGCGAGTCCTCCGAAATGAGCCGTTTGTGATTTCTATAATTTTTGCGTCCCAGACTCCCAGGTCCTCCGGCAGTGACCCGGAAACGGATGTCGGCGCGCCGTCTCGAAGGAAAACAAATTTCTCTAAAGGCTCGTCGAGGATCGATTTTCGAGGAGGCTGTCTGGAGGTGCCGTAACCGAGGGTCCACTGATGCAGAGGAGAGAGGAGTGTCTCTAGAGGAGCTATAACCGAGGGTACACTGAAGTATTCTCCGGAGACGATTTCAGCCAACAGTGATGTTTAAAAGAGGTGTGACGCATGGCTGGACTTCTGTCAACGAAGCACAGCTCTGCAAACTGTTCCCGTTGTGATTATAAGTTATTTGAGATGATCAAATGTGCATCAGACTTTCTACCCTTTACCGTTTGTTTACTCACTAATCACATGTCCCCTGGATGTTAGGCTATTTTTTTTTCAATACAACTGCTTTCATTGTGAGGCGATGTTTACAGTGAGAACAGCTGCTGAGGTCAGTGCAGAAAGCAGAACATTGTGTATAATATATATCGCTCAATAATAAATGTAACAGGCCTACATTTCACACTTTATTTGTAGGCTTTAGGAGATATCTACAAATAAACAGTAGGGTTAGGGTTAGGGAGTGTCTGTTGTAATGAATATGCCGCCAGCAAAGGGCGTAACAGTAGGTGTGTGTGTGTGTGTGTGTGTGTGTGTGTGTGTGTGTGTGTGTGTGTGTGTGTGTGTGTGTGTGTGTGTGTGTGTGTGTGTGTGTGTGTGACCCCCAGTTTCCACTAGGTCACGGCTGCGCCGCGGTTTTGGTCCGACCTCCTCTAGCGCCATTACCCACCGGACGCGTCCCAGAAGCATTTCAGAAGCGCTTCAGAAGTGTAGCGTCGTGCGTGCAGGCTCGCAGTTTTGTTGTCCATTGTGCGTATCGTAGTGGACGTGTTGTGATGAAGGAGGGGGTCTGCTAAATTAGTATATGTGGGGGATGAGCCTGGCCCGGATGCTCACCTTTCCACTTCCTGCGAGGTGGGGCTGCCTGCCTGACCTTACAAAAATAGGATTCATCCTAATTTTAGAGAAGCGCTGCGCCGAGCCGCTTCTAGGCCGCTTCTGGGCCGCTTCTGGGCCGCTTCTGGGCCGCTTCTGGGCCGCTTCTGGGCCGCTTCTGGGCCGCTTCTGGGACGCTTCTGGGACGCGTCTGAGCCGTAACGCGGCGCGTGTGGTGGAATAGCACCCATTGACTAGAGTGGCCGCGATCCCTACGACCGCCAGGGCGCAGCGCGGCGCAGACGGACCCGGTGGAAACTGGGGGTGAGAGTTGATGTGCCAGGCAGATAGGCAGGTTTCAGTCGCTTATCTGACATACAATGAACAAAAATATAAATGAAACACTTTTGTTTTTGCTCCCATTGTTCATGAGATGAACTCAAAGATCTAAAACATTTTCTATATACACAAAATAACAATTTCTCTCAAATATTGTTCACAAATCTGAAAAAATCTGTGATAGTGAGCACTTCTCCTTTGCCGAGATAATCCATCCCACCTCACAGGTGTGGCATATCAAGATGCTGATTAGACAGCATGATTATTGCAAACTGTCAGAAACTGTCTCAGGGAAGCTCATCTGCATGCTCGTCGTCCTCATCGGGGTCTCGACCTGACTCCGGTTCGTCGTGGTAACCGACTTGAATGGGCAAATGCTCACATTCGATGGCGTCTGGCACGTTGGAGAGGTGTTCTCTTCACGGATGAGTCCCGGTTTTCACTGTTCAGGGCAGATGGCAGACTGATGTCAATGTTGTGAATCGAGTGGCCCATGGTGGTGGTAGGGTTATGGTATGGGCAGGCGTATGTTATGGACGACGAACACAGGTGCATTTTATTGATGGCATTGTGAATGCACAGAGATACCGTGACGAGATCCTGAGGCCCATTGTTGTGCCAGTCATCCACGACCATCACCTCATGTTACAGCATGATAATGCATGGCCCCATGTTGCAAGGATCTGTATACAATTCCTGGAGGCTGAAAACATCTCAGTTCTTGCATGGCCAGCATACTCACTGGACATGTCACCCATTGAGCATGTTTGGGATGCTCTGGATCGATGTATACGACAGCGTGTTCCAGTTCCTGCCAATATCCAGCAACTTCGCACAGCCATTGAAGAGGAGTGGACCAACATTCCACAGGCCACAATCAACAACCTGATCAACTCTATGCGAAGGAGATGTGTTGCACTGCGTGAGGCAAATGGTGGTCACACCAGATACTGACTAGTTTTCGGACCCCCCCAATAAAGCAAAACTGCACGTTTCAGAGTGGCCTTTTATTGTGGCCAGCCTAAGGCACACCTGTGCAATAATCATGCTGTCTAATCAGCATCTTGATATGCCACACCTGTGAGGTGGGATGGATTATCTCGGCAAAGGAGAAGTGCTCACTATCACAGATTTTTTCAGATTTGTGAACAATATTTGAGAGAAATGGTTATTTTGTGTATATAGAACATTTTTTAGATCTTTGAGTTCATCTCATGAAAAATGGGAGCAAAAACAAAAGTGTTGCATAATATATTTTTGTTCAGTGTATAATTGGTCAAAAATTGTACATTCTCCGTTAGCCTACGAGCTCCCCGTTGGAGCGAAGGACTATTCCTTGTAGCATGACATTGGATATGCGCTTAACTTGTCCTGGATTGGAATTTTTCCGAACATTTCCCTAGAAAGAGTTTGCAAAAATGTGCTTAAAATGCATGAAAAACGCACATATTTGAAAATTGCCAAGTTTTTGGGGGGCGGGGCTAATGGAAGCCAATTTGAAATATGTCCAGATTCATAAGAGCAATGTGTATACATCGTTTCGTGAATATTGGAAAAACTATATGCGAGTAGTTTGGAGTAATCTGTGGCATGTAAATCGTCAAAAATGGAACATTCTCCGTTAGCTTACGAGCTACTCGTTGGAGCGATCAACTATTCCTTCACAATTTAGCATCACATTGGATATGGGCTGATCTTGCGCTGGATAGGAATTTTTTTCCTAGGGGAATGATCGAATAAATTGCATGAAAAACGCACATTTTTCAAAATGGTCGACTTCTTGGGGGGCGGGGCTAATGGAAGCTAATGACAAATATGTCTGCAATTCCATGAGGAATGTCTGTGCCAAAATTCGTGAAGTTCTGAGAAACTATATGTGACTACCACAAAATAGGGGGCTCTAGTGAGCAGTTTTTAAAAAAAATTAGGTTTTTTTTTTACATTCTCGAAAAGGTCGTGGGCTGTGACGTGTGTCCCAAGGTTTGCGTCCGTAGCTCATTTTATGCTATCGCAATAAAAAAAAAATGCATAGGCCACGCCCACATTATGCATTTGTTGCGACACTTTAAATCTCAGTTTGTAGTCACCCCCAGAGTATGTGTAAAAATAAAATAAAAAAGGCGTCCATCCGTTCTTGAGTTATACATTTGTGGTGGTTTTGGCGCCCCCTATAGTACAAAAGGAAAATGTTTTGGTGTACCTATTCCCCAAGACAGACTGAACCTATCCACCAAAATCTGTGATATATGGATACATTGTTGATGAGTTATGAGCATTTATTTCTAAGCCCCGCCTTTTTGCGAGTACGTTTTGATTCATGGCAACATTTATCGTCTTAACATACTCATTTTCTACGGTAATGTGTCTGACATCCACCGATGCTGTATGCGAAGTTTGGTGTTGAAAAACTGAAAATTGAAATTTAAGTGAATATTTCACTGTTTTGAACATTATGCTATTTACAAATGTAGGCGGAGTTTAGGGTTTCAAAAGTATTATTTGTAGACCAGGTCCACCCGGATATGTGTGCTAAATTTCAGGTCATTTGGAGTTAGTGCGGCTTTGTAAATGTATTCCGAAATGGGCTATTGATAGGTGGCGCTAGTGAGCAGGTTGGAATATTTAACCCATTGACTCCAGAATATTGTATTTTTCACCAGTGCTGGCGTCTGTGCAAAATTATACAACTTTTGAAGCGTCCTAAAGGCCTCAAAAACAGGAAACGCCAGCAGAAAATAATAATACCACGAAGAACAATCGGTTCCTCACACTTCGTTGGGTCCTAGCGCTCCGAGCTCGGGCCCTAATAATGTGCACATTATCCCTTACTTAGAACACGATTAAGATAACTGCAGATTCACTTTCTATTGATTAACTTTAGATGAATTCATTGATGGTTTCATCTCGAATGATGAGTACACTATTAAAGTGAACAATACAGACCCTTCACTATGCTTCAAAGAAAGTGACTCACTGCAGCCGGGACAACAGCAGGCATCCGAATGTCCACAGAAAAATTGTGAGGGTTTGCTGAGACTGGCTGCCTGGTCCTGGACACACAGTCACTGGGGTCTGACACCACATGTTCCTGAGACCTTACGAGGAAACATTAGAGGACACTCAATGAGTTAAGCTTCACTTTAACAATACACTATACAAAAATACACCCAGTCAAGAAAGTAGATGCTTTTATGCAACAACTTTTTTTGTAGGATTAAAAGTAATATTAAAGTTAAAGTAAGGTTAGGTAAATCCTCCACTTGACGATTATGATTCCTGCTTATTAATTCCATTTGGTAACAATTCTCAGCAGAGACAAAGCAGATACAATGTTTTTTTAGAAATTGTTACACAATTCATATGCATGACGTGTCAGAGAGAGAGCATGATGCTGTTTCAGCTACAACTCATCTTGAACACACCCAATCCACTTTCACCAATGTCCCCCGAATAAAAACATTAATTAAGATTCAGATTTTCAGATTAAACAGTTTGTATTTGAATTAAACAAATCCACATAATAAGATTTTGATAAAAAGTGCAAGTGCTTGTAGTACAAACAGTATATTTGTGGATTTGGATTTTCATTTAAGATGCTGTGACACAACAATATCCAACTGCCTAGCAATGTTCGATGAGGAAGGAAATTATTTCAACATGTTTTTGTCACTTTCAGGAAACCAAGAAGATCACACTGAATATGAACGTATCTTGGTTAGTTAGAACACTCTACTAGGCACCTTTAGGCTGGTGGGTTAAATGTTGTCTTAAACAAGATACATTAGTAAAATGCTTGTAATAAAATGTGTATTTCCAAATCAAATTTTTAAAAGTTGTTTTACATCGCCCAAAAAATTATAAGCATATAACCAAAGCATAAAAAGCGTTTTTCTCTGACCTTTTCAACCTGTCCAGTGCATTTTGTAGTTCCAGGCTGTGGCTAAGACAGATGAATGCTAGCACCAGCACAAAGGACACAGGGACTTCCATCCTGTCTGCTGCTGCTGTGCTGCCGTCTGAAACAGATGTGAAACAGGCCGTCAGCAATTAACAGTGGGGAAAGACAGGGTGGTAAACTGCACTGAGAGATCCTGTCCCACTGTGCTACTTGCTCAGCTTGGTTTTAGGGTAGGTATTGCTGGACCTCACTCCTTCAGCATGTTGGATTGTAACACTTGTATCTTTCAAGTAGCTAAGATGAGTTGGTCTTGGTGTGTCTTGACCACCTGAAAAAGCATGTGTGTTAACTGAATGCCAGGGCGAGGAGACACAAACCGAGTATATAAAACCACAGTTGGCTCTATCTATTTAAATGTGGTAAATATTATTGATCTTTTTGACACAACATGCTGTGACATTATGTGTCGTTCTGTAGATTATGATAGAACATTCTAAATTAGAAGGAAATATCTCTGGTTGTATGTATTGTAAAACTGTAGGCAGAATGAAATAGCTCCCAAATCAAAAAGTAAGAAGAACAAAGTTATACAATGACACAGTAAAGCTATAAAAATAACAAGCTCAAAACTAATCAGCTGCCTGTATGGGATTAATAAAGTATCACATACTGACTTTCTCAATGCCTTAGAAACCTCGCACTCTTACGCCTCATTGCAGGGCTCGACATTATAAATGGCCCGCTGGCCCGGAAGCACTATTTAGAAACCCCGGGCCAGCATAACGCATTTTCCACTTGCCCGCTCGGGCCAATACAAATATTGCTTTAAAAAAAAAAAATGGTCCTGTTGTATTGGTATTTTGACTAGTGTTAGAAATTAAAATCAATGTTTTATGGCATAATTTAGTTTAAACATACCGTCAGCTTAAATGTTGTTTTATTCTGAAAAATCTCTGGTTCTCGCACAATCTTAATGCCAAGCATTTATTCTGAAAATCCTTCATCTCTGGTTAGCATTTAGCATGTGGCTAATATTCCTTATCCTACAGAGGTGAATGTGAATGTACACGGAGTGTTGCACATCAAAGCCTACTGACTTTAACACTACATCTATAGACATCGAGATATTAATACTATTGCTGAATATTAAATGAAGGTACAGTTTATTTGAATACGTTTTGTTTATAGACGTGAGAAGGTATGACAACCTCCGGAACTACCGTAAATGATAACTGCCGTGAAGTATTTCCAGTATTATTAAAGTAACGAATTACAGCCGTTAAAATGTAATAAATGAGAAGTCATGAAAGAGAATATGAGGAGAAAAGGCATGTTTAGTTATGTATTGAATGTACAATGGCTGAGTCCTCTGTTATGCACAACAACGGACATTGAATACGAGTGGAGGGCAGACCCCCAGCAGAGCCAACCGGCAAACCAGAAGGGGCCATCGAAGGATACTTAAGGAGCTGATGTGCGTGTTTCTCGCTCTCTCTTTGGCTCTCGAGCGCCCAAGAACACAGCTGTTTTCTCACTGAACAATATTCTGCTTGTAACATTACTGCGCCATTGTAATTAAAGTACCCATTTGAACCTTATGCGAAAGACTCCGTTGGTGTAATTTATCCTAAACTTCTCTCCTGGTCGCGAGAATAACGAACAAAGCTAATACTAGCAATGTTGTTAGATTGTTTCGTTTATCAACGCTACAACATAGCGTTTCGTGAGTCAGTTGTCGTTGTTGGGGGAAAAGCAAACAGCTGTTTGCTGTGGAGCACAGCGCGAGCAGGCTCCCGTGAGCAGGAGCGCGCTCCTTCACTACAGACTATCGCGCCACCTAACCATTCGCCAAAATGTTTTTAATACCAGCGGTAGCCGGGCAAGCGCCGGGCAAAAAACAATCTTCAAATAAAAGAAAGTCACCGGAGGAGTTAAAGGAGAGTGACAGGGAGTATGAGAAGAAGAGGGAGAGAAAGTTTCAGCCAGCTTGATCGATGGAGTTGGCTTCTATAGAGTGGTGCAGTGACGCTTCCTAAAACCCTTTTATAATCTATCGATTAGATTTATGATTCGAAAATTATAAAAGTAGGGTAGACATGTGGAGATTATCCGGCTGAACAAAACGTGCATTTATCAAACAGGTTTGTTTTCCACAGACCTTATTTCCAGCTATTTTCCAAAACCCTGTGGAGAAATCCCATTGCTTTTTGTCGAGGGAACCAGCAGCTTACTTCCTGGTTTTAGGATGCGTCACTGCACCTCTCAATATGATGCCAATATAAACTGGAGAGGCTTCTCAATTCTTACATTTCCCCTCCTCGACTCCCCTCTTCGACTCCTATCCTCGAGACTTAGTCCCGCCCATAGGAGATGCGAGCGGAGGACTGAGGAGGGGAACCGAGGAGAGAGGAGGGGAAGCAGCAGGCGGTTAGAGAAATGAGAACTCCTCTCCTCTGAGCGGTCATTTTAAAGAGACGTCCTTTAATGATGACAGGAGGCACAGCAGCCCTCTGTCTGATGGGACAGTACTGTGTCCATGACCACTTATATATTTACTTTTAATTAATTGACAGTGTGGTATAATGAGACAATAACAGGCTACAGATTCGGACATATACACACACATATATTTATATACAATTTAATGTATGAGAGCACTCTCATAATAACGTAACACAATCAGAGACTGGATATATCCCCCACCCCCTCTCTCTGGTCGCTGAAATGGGGAAATGAAATTACGGGCCAAAAGTTGTATTTACAAGTATTAAAAGTAAGCAGAGGACACCAAACCAACTGAGACCTGTCTGTCCGCCGCATCTACGCACTGTACAACACACACACCTACACACTGTACCACACACACACACACACACACACACACACACACACACACACACACTGTACCACACACACACCTACAGCTCCTAAGCATAATCAGGCTACAGCCGTTGTGTATTTTATTATGTGAAGCACTAAATGGTCTTAGAAAAATATCGACTCTTTGTTTGTAGATATCTACTAAACTAAAGCAAATAAAGAGAGTAGGTGATATATATTATACACACTGCACTGCTTTCTGCAAGGACCTCACAGCTGTTCTTTCTGGAAACATCGCCACGTGATGAAAACAGTTTCTAAAATAATATCCAGGGGATGCATGCAGAGCTGTCATTGGCTGAGATAAGTCCGGCCGTGCGTCACGCCTCCACCGTTTCCGGAAATGCATCTGCGGAGGAGCCGTGGAGGAACCATCAGTGTATCCTCGGTTAGAGCTCCTCCAGAGAGCCTCCTCGATGCTCGATCCTCGGTGTGCATTTAGAGAAATGAGATGTCCTTTAAAAATGGCGCGCTGAAATTAATTTCCGGGTCACTACCGGAGGACCGAGGAGTCGAGGATGGGAAATTTGAGTATTGAGAAGCCTCTAAGGTCTTCTGTCGGCTCTGTACATCAATGCCGACCTATGCTGACAAGTAAGTGAAGAGTAGAAAATATAAAGGTATTGGCTATAGGGAAATGTCCCAGCAGTTTAGGATAATGAAGGTTCTAATCTAATCTATTACATTTCTAACTCCTAATGACAGGAAGGCAGAAAGCGCATTATACAAATAATAATACTCATAATAATAGCAGACATGTTTTAACAATGACCACAATATCATTATTTTAACTAGAGAATGCAATTCCTGAAGAAATTGCTAGTGGGAATGCTTTATGCTGAAATATAATGTGTAAGAAGAAAGTGAATAATCAGGAATATTTGGATGACTGAATGGTTTCCATATGAATTAATATTATGTTAAAAAGTAGCATGAAACTCCAAATGTATAAATAATGTTAAAGATGTAAGGCTTTGAAGGTAGAATGTTATTCGTAGGAAAAGTTGAAAATGCAAAAAGAACTGGTGAAATAGTAACATTTGGAACATTTTATTTTCAAAAACCAGAACATGGGGGAAAAAAACTATATAAAACGTTTACTAACAAATTGTATTCAGTAAAAAGACGAATGAAAATCTGTCAAACAATACATGAACAAAACTATATAAAACTGTTTAAATCAATTACTAACAAATATATTCTGTAAAACCACAAAGTGAAATGGTGAACAAAAATAAAGTAATTTGTGTGAAAGAACAAGTGATAAAACAACTATATACAGAAACTATTGATACAAATGTTGTAATAAATGTAAAGAAACCACTCAAGTGAATAAGTTAATATATAGAAACATTTCACATCAATTACTAAAGAAAATAACAATCTGAAGAACAAAAAATCTAAAATACAGAAACTATTCATATCAATTAAATAAATCAAACAAGAAGTGAAGAGAAAAAAAACATAGCAACTTTTCATATTAATAAAATAATAGCAGTCAAACCAGAACAAGACAAAAGCAAGCATAAAACAAACAGTTTTACTATGCATTTCATGCACGTCACATATGTATCTTTTAATTGGACTATTAAAATCTCACTCTAAATGTTATGAAATAATAGTACGGTTAAATGCTCAAAAGATGCAACAACTGCTATTTATATGTCTGCCCCATTAAGTGTCCATATATAGAAACGTTTCATATCCACTCAGCCTTCGACCCTCTAAGTATATCAGGAAAAACTCAGAGAAAAACCTTATTAAGGACAAATGGAGAAACCTTTAGGTAGGCCAAGTCTTAGAGGGATCCCCTACCAGGACGGCTGAGCATCAAGTGTTTGTGAAGGTTCGGGTTAAGAACATGTGCCTGCGTCAGGACTGATTGCTGATGTTGCAGCCGCAGTGTAGAGATGAAGTCTTCTGGGTGTTGAGGACTCTCTCCAATCAGAAGTTGCTGTAAACAAGATGATAAATATCATAATACAGCAACAAAATGTTGGAAAACATTATTGATATGGTTGCCGTAACACACACAGACATCAACTTATGAGAGAAGTGGAAAATATGCTACAAGGTATAAAAAACCATGAACAAAGTTTCCAGGTTATAAAACAACATTAAATCTACTCATAGTATCTGATGCAAATTGGTTGCTTACATTTAATTAGATGAAGATGAAGGATTGAAGGCTCCTGAAAGAATCCTGAGCTGCACTGCCTCCGATGACTCTGGTCTTGG